AATCACATATTCTAGAATAGTCAGTTGATTTAAATTCATTTTGATTTCATTTTTATCAGATCAAACATGCAATATATTAAGTTCAATTATTCTTTTTCTTTTGAGAACCATTATGATGTTTCAGAATCATTCTTCTAATATGCACATCGGTAGTTTGAATAAAATTATCTTACTTTTTCTTTTCAAATGGAATTGAGGTGTTATAGAATTTATTATATTTACATCGTAGTCGATGTTTTTGTGTTATTTTTCATGATAAACTAAGAAACATTTTCAAAAGTTCAAAAATAAAAGCCATTTGATGATTGTGTATATGAACTGCGGTTTTGACACATGTAAGTGGCAATTTCGAGAAATTTTTTAAAAGCTTCTTTATGGGCAGGAGTTTTATCTTGCAAAGCAATTTGAAAAGCAAATTTCAAATTTTTGGAGGCTTTTTTATCATCAAGACGACCGTAGAATACTTTAGCCATACTGACATAAGTATATGCTTTGGAAAGATGATCTGATAATAAACTCTTTTCTTGAATTTTAAGAGCTTTCTCAAGAAAATCAAGTGCACTCCAATATTCTCTTTTCATACAATATGCATCACCAATTTGATAATAAACAATAGCAAGATCGGGATTGTCGGGTGCACCATTTTTTTCAAGTATATGACGTGCTTTTTCATAGAAAAATAATGCTGTCGAAAAATCACGATCCTTCAATACGTAAATTTTACCCATGTTGGTATAAAAGCCAACCAAACCTGGATGATTAGGATCAGTGGAGTTTTCAGCGATATGAATCGATTTTTCAAACTCTGAAAGTGCCATTTGATAATCCATCGTCTTAACATAGATATTCCCGATATTATTGTGAGTAATAGCCAACGATGGGTGTTCGGCTGGTAACGATCGTTGCTCGATAGCAAGTGTTCTTTTATAGAATTCCAATGCACGTAAATTATCACCTTTCTCATCATAGACTGAGCCAATATTATTATAAATAACAGCAAATAATGGATCATTGGAAAGAAGATTTGTTTTAAAAATAGTCAATGTTTTTCGAAAAAATTTAAGTGCAGTAGAATAATCTCCCATGGATCGAAAAACTTGACCAATATTACTGTAAAGAGTAGCAAATTGCCATGGCTCAATATCGTTAAATGATTTTTCAAAAAGATTCAATGTCTGTTGATAATATATCAATGCTTTCGTATTATCTCCTTGTTCTCGATGTATTTCTCCAATATCACTGTAAGTAATGCCTAAAGATTGATGATCGATTGGAGAAATATGATGTAAATATTTCAAAGCTGCATTATAAAATGACAATGCCACATCATACTCTCTTCTTTCTCTATGCATAACTCCAAGTTGATGATCAATAGCAGCATGAAATATCCAATTATTTTCCGATATTGTATTTAAAAGTTCCAAAAGTACACCGGTAGCATCATTGAATTTACCCATTTTTCCCAATAAATGACTCAGTCGATATCGTGGTGAATTTCCACGAATTTCTCTACATATCTTTTTGCTAAGACGAAGCAACTCTTTATCATGATCACTAGTTAATTTGAGTCGAACATACCAAAGTCGATTATCAATTTCTTCGACTTCACCGATGCGAAAGATGGTATGCATTGAAAAGAGAATTTCTTTTTCCGAACCAAAACAAGAATCATTACCTTCTAATTCAGCGAATGGTGCTGATGAAATTGTTCCATCAATATCCATTTCAAATACAATACCTACTAGTGTTTGTTCTTTAGGAATCAAGTCGGCAAACCCTTTTGACAAGCCATAATTACGACTTGTTGAAAGAAAATTATTAAACGAAAGAAGACCACTTGGGTTCATGAGTATTTTCTTCTTGAATTCATCTTCATGCATTCCTTGTCCTCGATAAACAATCAATTGATTTAAAGATTTCATACTATGAAGATATTCAATTCGTCGATGAACATCACGTAAAAAGAAACCCATTTTGATTAATGTCTTTGCATCTTGATCTCTTAATGCTTTATTCAACATATCATAAGTAAAACAATCTCGAGTATACCACCAAACAGGTGAATGTTTATCGTAATCTCGTTTGAATTCATCAATAACAGATGAAACATTTTTTGTACCACCACAACTTTGAATATGACGACAATATTCAGTAAGTTCAGTCTTTGCTATAACAAGATTGTATTCAATATCAAGAAGAATTTCTTTAATTAATTGTGAATACATAAATGATTGATCAAGTCGATTTAAATCATTGCTTGAAATATCTTCTGGAGAAATACTGCTAATTGAAAATTCAGTATCATTCCATCGTTGTATATTTCCTTTGATTAAATTACAAATTGATTCAATATTGTCGAAGGTTCCTTTGATTTTTGTTGATTGTAAATCGGTAAAATGATGTTGTATTTGCTGACTTTTCAATAAATAAATTGAATTAATTTGAGGTAATTCATCAATAAATGAAATTAATTCATTTTCGAAAGTACAATCGATTATCATAAATACTTTGTTTGCTTCGAATTCAGTTATATACTTAATACATTCAGCAGCTTCAGTAAATTTTCTACTTGTATTGAAAATACGTTGAAGATGTATAAGAGAATTTGTGTCATCCTTAATATTTGTTAACCAAATAATTGTAAAATTTTGGATTGAGAGTGTAGGTGAGGAATCCATTTTTTCTTGTTACCAATTTTGTTATGTATCTCGTACTTAATTTCTTCCTTTCGATACTCAACTAGAGAAACATAATAGAATAAAACAAAAAGAGAATGTATTTATAGCAGAAGAGACATATTTTGTCATATAATTTGATAAATATAGAGA